AATAAAAATTAAAAAAAAAAGAATACACGTTTCAAGCTGGGCACAGTAGGGCACAGCTATAGTCCCAGCTGCTCAGAAAGCTAAAGCAGGAGGTTCACTTGAGCCCATCAGTTTGTGGCCAGCCTGTGCTACATAGCAAGACTTTGTCTAAAAAAAAAGAAAACAAATTTCAAACAGTTTTTTTCTCACTCTTGCACTCACACCAACTTTTTACATTATCAACATTTTAATTCCATTCTTTGAATCTTTAATATTGGAATGAGAAATAACGCACCTTCCAAAAGATTCACAAACATATGGATTATAAATTTAAAAGAGCGTGGTTAAGGGCCAGGTGTGGTGGCACATGTCTGCAATCCCAGCTACGTGAGAGGTGGAGGTAGTACGGATCAGTCTGAGACTGGGGCAAAAATCGTGAGACCCTAGCTGAAAAATAAATTACAAAGAAAAAGGCTGGGGGTGTGGTTCGAGTGGAACCTCGCCTGCCAAGCAAGCATGAGGCCCTGAGTACAAATCGCAAAATAATTAATTAATTAAATTAAATTAAAAAGAACACAGTTAGCTCTGAGTTTGAAAGGCAAGACATAGGCAGGAGGTGCCTCTGCTGATACAGCATGGCAAGGCTCTTATGAATGCCTCCTTGCTCTGAAAGCTGTCCTCCCAAGGCTGGGGGCAAGAAAAAGGAGAAAGTCTGATTCCCACCATTGTTCTGCTGGACCGTGGTGGGAGCTGAAGAGATCCTGGAACTCGCTGTCACAGCAACTGCAAGGGCTGTCATTTCACAAAGGTCACAGAGACCTGCAGCCATTGTTCACAACCAGGGCAGGCCTCCTGCTGCACATCACAACACACAGGGCAGTAACACACAATAAACCACGTGAGGACGCACAGAGACACCAAGGGTGAAGTCAGTCACTCAGTACAGCTCCACATACAGACGTGTAGTGCACACACACAGGCACTCACACAGGCACACAGGTACACGCAGGCACACACACAGCTGCACGCAGGCACACACACAGCTGCAGAAACTGCCTGCTTGGCACACGGCTTCCTTGTTCATCCAGCCCCACCCCTTGAAGGTATTTCCAGAATTTAGGTTACTACCCTTGGCAGCTTTGCTTCATACACAAATATGCTGAGGTTAAAGTTTATTAAGTGTGACCCATTTGTCAGTGACTAAGTTCCATTAGCCTCAGCTTTCAAATGTGACTTTTTATGACAGTCACAGCGACTCCTTGACTGTGGACAGGGAGTGGGGCGGAGTGGAGGGGTCAGTGTCCTGAACTTAGGCGCAGCTGGACCACGGGGGGAGAGGGGTCTTCACCTTCCAGATGCTTCCTGGCCCTCAGAAGTAAGATCCGGGGGAAGGGGCCTGGAGTGAAGCCTTTAAGGACCCACAGCAAATGCAGTGAGGCGCCCTTGGAACCTGCAGTGTTGGCGATCCCATCTGAGTAGGCCCTGCAGCAGCAGGCCCTGGGAGAGGACCCAGAGCAGGCACACAGGGGTAACAGCTTCTTCCCACACTGGAGACCACCAAGCAGGCCACACAGGCTCTTTAGGTCTTTGTGGGGAGCCCCCACGTGTCCCCCTCTGCAGCTAGTTCCCACAGCTCTGAGCACAAGCAACGAGCCCTAAAGGAGATCCTTCTGATGCCTGGGGATTGGCTGTGACAGGAACCCAGAGGGAAAGGGAGCCTGCAGTGACCAGAGGGATTGGCCCTCACTGAAGTCTTGTGAACTGGGAATATGAAGGGCAGTTTTGGACTTTTTAAAGGACTTAACTGTCCCCTGCAAAGGCTGGCCCTCTATGCTGATTAGTGCAGAGGTTGATTCAGGCCCCCAGGGTTTTAAGTCCTGATGACCCTCAGGGGACGGGAAGCCTCAGCAGCACGGGACTCCAGCTGTGCCCATACCAAACCCCGTTACAAAGAGTTGTAACTTTCCCAGATGTGACAGCTCACCGCCCATCTTCTCTTTTCTCAGGTATTTGAAAGCAGAGTTTGTCCAACTAGGAGATTAGAAAAGGATATGGGGACCCGTTCCCGAGCTTGAAAGCCAGAAAAAAAGCCTGGTTGTGAAGAGAAGACACAAAACCTGTTTGGTGACTTGTCATTTCAGTGAGAACAGGAATCCCTCACAGGTAAACATTCCCCAAACTCCTCCCCTTCTTTCTTCCATCAGTGGCCTTGGCTGGGGACCATGGGAGGACAGAACACAAAACAAGCCTGCTGCTTATCCTCCATTACGGATGACACAGGGACCACTTGTAGGGGCAAAAAAGTTTATTACACTTGCCACGTCTCAGCAATAAAACAAGGCTTTCGTTATGCACACTGTCATTCAGAAAACATCAGGGCAGGCAGTAGCACACATTTTTGATAAGAATAAGCTGTTGTCATATTTATCTTATTTTTCTCTTCCTCTTTAATGAACATTAAAGAAAGGATTTCTTAGATCACCTGTTTAAAAAAAACAATCACCACTGAATCCTAGGAAAGTAAGACCCTCACAGCCAGAGCTGTGGGGCTAAAAAAAAAAATGCACTTCTGAGGTGGTTTTTTTTTTTTTTTTTTTTTTTAAAAAACAAGGTCAATGTTAAGGGTTGCACAGGCCCCATTTATCAACTCCCCTAAGCTCTTCAGGAAAGCTGGTTCCAAATGGAGACCCTACGAGCGAAGATCCCTAGATGGTCAGAAGTCAGCTTGTGAGTCTCAAAGGGACAAAGCCAGACACAGAGCCTGGGCTGTGTGCCACCCTCAGTGGCTCTGCACCAGGTCCAGGTGCATAGAGCAGAAGGATCCATGACTAACCACTATGGATGCTAGGGCTTCAAACTTCCTGAGGATGGCACCCCAGAATCTGCCTTTCCTCTGCCCTCTTCTCCTCAGGCAGTTTTACAGGAGAATGTGAGCTTGGGGGTAGAGGAAGAAAGCAAAGATGAAAATTTCTGCCAGTTTTGGGGAGACAGCATGCACACTAGGACCCAGATGTCAGGAAGAGGATGAGGATGAGGAGAGGACTGGAGCCAACACTCATCCCGGTGACTGCAAAGTAGGACTGTAGGCAGATGAGACGCTACACCTCCTTTCCTAAAAAAGGATAGTTTCTTAAAAGCAGAGACTGACTTGCCAGCATCACCTGAAAGGAAACATAGCACTCATCTTTCCTTCTTCAGTACAATCTTGCTTCGAAATATGGCCCTTCAAATTCCCTTGCACCCCATGGCCTTTAAGCCCTTCACGGGGCATGGTTACGGCAAGGAAACCAATGCCTTCTTCAAACAAGGATTTTTGTAAATGTGACATGAGCACGCACAGGCAGATGTCCTTTAAACTTCTATAAAACACAGGGCTTTCATCACTAGGACTTCAGGCACAAGACATGACCAGAATAACAGTCAGTATAATGAGGAATAAATAGAAAAAATTATGAATAAATAGAAGGAAAAGATATAACCATTCAACAGAAAGTAACTGAGAATATAACGAATAACATAAAAAGGAAGTTGTTTATGTCAGATAAAACTCAGTAAGTTTTTCAAAAATGTCATTATGAGAACAAATATAAGAATATACAGTCAATTCACTCTATCCACAATAAAATCATAGGATAAGATAAAAAGAAAGAATTCTCAGATATAAAGGATATTTGAAACAGCTATAGCAAGACCCTCAATTATTAAACACTGTATGGCATTTCACTTTGTAAAAAGAAAACATTCATGAATCCTTCACACAAATCCAACAGAAAGAGAAGTCAAATAAAAGTAAGTACTTTTAAAAGCTGTAGGATTAAAACAATTATTTAAATTAAGACCACCAAGAATCTATGAGATTATTTCATGAGAACAAGAGCTGGATGAGATGTTAAATACTGTGGTTCTAAGGAAAAAAAAACAGAATCTTTCACTTTATTCAACTCACAAGGCAAACACAACACTAGGAAAAACGCCCTTCACAGAGCATTTAAAAGTTTGAATTTCAATAATACTCAACAGGAAAGAAACTGGCAGGGACTGACAAACAGAAGGGCGTGACTCTCAGGGCGTCCTTTCCTGACTATTTTTAGAGATTCAAGACTCCAACCTTAAATAGTTTTGATAATAACGCTTGTGGCCACAACTCAGCATATAAGGTAGAGTCTGGGAGAGCCCTAGGCTTTTCATGCTGTGTAACCTGGTTCACTGTTTTCTCCACAGAATCAGGACTCTTTGAGGATCTTTTATTTCCTCCTGTCTCTAGCTACCTTGAAACACATAAAACCAAAATTAGGTGGAAAAAGTAAAGAAGATTAATTTTATTACATGTTCTTCACTAAAGGAAGGAGCTCCCTTACTTATTTGGAAACAGAGGAATACACTGTTGAGGACAAAGTCCTTTTGGGTCACCAAACATCATGGAGGTGTCCTTCGAAGACTTCCATATTAGGGAAAGCCAATTTCCTGTGCCAGCAGTCAAGCTGAGGTGACTGCCTATCAGGAGAACAGGATGTGCTCTTATCCTGTAGTTATATAACAGGGTTTTCAGAAGCTGATATTATGCAGCAATGAACGTGCATGTGTGCACACACAACACCTATGTATGTTAACACATATGTACAAAATACACATAGCAGACTTACACATGTATGTCCTGGGAACACAGACCTTACAGTCTGCTGAGATCTTTCTCAAAATCGCCACCTTTTCCAAACTCAGCCTCTCTTACAACTCAAAATCACAGTAAATCATACTCTAAAGCTTTGTTTCACTTCAACTTTCAAAGGGAAAAAATGGGGGATCCAAATTATATCAAGAAGAAAAGCCTCTCTATGGGTCAAGTACCATCTTTCACTCTTAAAAAACAAACAAACAAAAAGATCAAGAAGTCTATTACGACACTACAAAATATAACAAGCATTTCTTTTTTACTTTCTTAGAAAAGGAGGGGGGAAATCCTGAGTGTAAGAGAGTTAAACTGGCTTTCATGAGAGTAAAAGGCCAGATTAGACACTCAGGAATGACATGGGGCCAGTCCCCTCCTCTCAAATCGAAACACGTTAGCTATTTATGAATCATGGAAGCCCACAGGCCTTAGAAAAAGGTGACAAGGTCTGGGCCATGTTCTCTTTCAGAGAAGGATGCTGGCTGTGGGATCTAGCCAGGCCAGGCCTGGGGTTCCACCCTTCATAGGGTGCCACAGTTGGGGTCGTGGCTTCTGCCCCTCCAGTGTGCAGAGCACCTGATGTAGACGGTTCCTGGATCTGCAGGCTAGGGGTCCCCTTTGCCAATGCCACTGTTCCATCCTGCCCTCATTTAGGGGAGAGGGCAAGGTGTCCTCAGGTCTCTCACAAGTTTTCCTTCAGCAGCCCAAGCTTGCGCAGGGCCTCTCTCCGGGCCTCCTCGGTGGAGCCCCGACCTGAGAACTGCACGGTGATGCCCTGGGGTCGGAAGCCCCCGGCCCTGGGCAGGGAGCCGGCCCGCTTCCTGGCATCCTGGCCGCAGTCAGGCCGGGGCTCGTAGAGGCTCCTGCTGACACTGTGTCGCAGAGCGGGGTCGGGCCGGAAGGTGATGGTCTTCCCACTGGGGACAAAGGCACTGGGCTCGCTCTTCAGGGCCTCGTGGACGCTCTGGAAGCCATTGGTCAGCACTGGGGGCTGCTCGGTCTGCACGGCCCGGGACTGCTGCCCGGTGGCCAGCCCTGCATGTGGACCCACGGCCTCCCTGGCCAGGCCTGGCTTGCCGTGGGCCTGAGCCACCTGATCTGCACGGAAGCCCCTGTGCTCAGTGCCCTCACCCCTCTGGGACCGCTCCTCAGCATCTCCTGAGGCCAGGAAGGAGACACCATTGATGTTGGCCAGGACTTGGGCTTTGCGCTCCTGCACGTTGACGGCAGCTTTGGAGATGGTCTTGTTGAAGTCCTTCCCCGAACTGTTGGTCACACTGATGTTGCTGGGGAAACGGTGGATCTTGGGTGCAGGCTGGACCATGTGTCTATGCCACAGGATGTGCTCCCCGATCCGAGGGGCTGAAGAAGCTGGTGTCCTCCACTCTCCAGGCCCGTCCTCCCTCGAGGGGGATGTAGCAGAAAGGGCTTCATTTTCTGCCAGCTTCTCAGAAATTTTCTGGGCAATCACAAGGGGTGTGGGGACAGAGCGTGGCAGCTTTGGGTGCTCCGCAGGAGGACAGGTGGCCAGCGGCTCCTTCTTGGGGTGGGCCAGTGGCTCTGGGGCACTGGGCAGGGAGGGTGACACAGGAAGAAGGGCCTGGGGAACTCTGGAGTCTGGCAGTGAGGGATTCCCAGCACCCTGCTTCCTGCCTTCGAGGACAGGAATGTCCTTCTTCCCACTAGGTTCAGTCTCTGAAAAGGAGGGAGAAATCTCATAAGCTTCCACCTATGTCAAAGTAAATGTGTGACATTCCTAAGGGGCACACTAGGCTTCCATAGTGCCTGCTGTAACCAACACAACCCGTCCTTCCCTGGAGAAAGAAAGCAGTCCACTATCCTGGTGACCACATGGTGGGAACCTGCAGATCCCTGCCTGTTAGTGAGAGATCCCTTCAGAAGCAACTGTCAAAGTACACATCTGGGGCTCCCACACCTTGAGGGTGTGACAAGAGGCAAACATTGCCTACCTCATCAGGGCACTTTATAAAGGAGACTCAGAGGCTGGAAAGCCAGGAGGCACATGCCAACCCTAGAGGAAGGATATTGGCTGTGCCATTGTCCTTTGGCACAGAAAAGCTTCCTGACAAGCCCAGGTGGCATTCGGTGGCCTGCCTGGGGCCTCCACCTGCCCTCCCCTCTCATTAAGCACAGATCACTCACTCTTCTCTGTACCTGTCTCCTGCACCAAAACCATAAGCCAGGTCCTTTTATCTTGGCATGTGCAGAACCCCACATGGTGCCCACCACCGAGGAGGCACTGGAAATGGCTATGAACATATCATGTCAGAGGGCTGATGTATGCATGGGGCACATTTTCAAGAGCTGTCTCCTTTAGCACGACTGTGGACATCTGATCTTTTTAAAGGATCAGCTGGTTCAAATTACTATTAGGAATTAGACTTCAAAGCCAGAAGCGTTTTGCATGAAAACACCAATTCACTTCTCTTCTCTGAAGAGATAGTTGTAAACCAAACGCTAATTCTACATGGAATCCCTAACTGTAGACATGAAATTCTTACTAATACACAGCCTTGCTTGAAAAGAGCACATCCCGCCCCCCACATTCCTACAGGCGTATGAAAAACAGCAGTGTCTTAGAAGTTACCAGAGCACACGCATTTCCCCTCTTTTTTTCTTCCTATCCTTTCCAGTCCTGTGCCTCTATCACCTTCGTTTTCAATACCTTTCTAACTGGAAAAAAAGACAAGAAATTTCTCTCTGTTCATTTCCCTCCAGTTCCACTTGACCCAAGGGACAGAGGCATACCTCTCCCTTGATGCTACTCAGAGTCAAGTGTGGAGTAGTGCCAAGCTGGGTTTCTGTTCTGGTCTTTTTCTGTGTCCTTGAACCCGATGACTTTTTGGTTTTTTTTCAGTAGTTGGGGTTTGAACTCAGGGCTTCATGCTTACTAGGCAGGTGCTCTACTGCTTGAGCTCCACCTCCAGCCCTTTTTTGCTTTGCTTATTTTGGGGATAGGGTCTCACTTTTTGCCAGGGCCAGGCTGGACAGTGATCTCTTTTACTTCTCTTGCTGTAGCTGGGATGACAGGTACATGCCACCATGCACAGCTTTTTTCCTGTTGAGATAGGGGTCTTAAGAACTTCTTTGCAGGATTGGGCCGCAACCTTGACCTTCCCAATCTCAGCCTCCCGAGTTCCTAGGATTTCAGGGGTGAGGTACTGGTACCCAGTTCAGCTGACTTGCAGTTAAATGCTCTCATCTTGGAAGGTCATGTGTCAGAAATGGGTCATCATCTTGCACTAAAATATGAGTGCCTTGTACAATTTCTCTGTAGGACAGAATCTGGTCAGTCCTTTTGGAAGTTCCCTGGCCAGACCAAGAAGATGCTCTTGGCTGTAGAAGCTGGGGAGCAGTGACAGCTCTCACACTAGTGAACTGTGCGAAAGCAGCAAGTGCCTCTGTGTCCTGGGCACAGCAAAAAACCAAGTCAAAAGTCTAGGGACCCATGTGTCACCTCACCTGCTGTCTGAGGCCCATCTGGAAGGCACTTGGCTTCCCCAGCTTCAGGTCCTGGCTGCACTAAATCGATGACATCTTCTGGCTCAGAGTGACTGGAAGGGCTCTCTTCCAGAGACTGTGGAGAGTGGCAGTGAATGCCACTGTCACACAGGACTGTGTCCTCAAAGTCACCTTCCAGGGAATCAAGAGTCTCTTCAAAGAACAGAATGACGTCCTTTTCCTCATGCGTGAGGTACTTCAGGCTCTCATCGTCCTGTAAGGTAGGTTTGGGGATTGGGAAGGGAGGACATGAACAAACAGTGGTGTCACTCAAGAGAAAAAGCCCCAACCAAGTAGAGGTCACTACTTAGCCCAGGGTTGAAGTCACAGCACTCTAGAGGTTCCCTGCCATCCAGGTCGTCCCACCAACAAAACGCCTGTGTGTCCCTCACTAATTTATCTGAGTGGAAAAAAATACCGTCAAAAAAGGCATAGCAGCCTAGCGCCAGTGGCTTACGCCTGTAATTCCAGCTACCTGGGAGGCTGAGATCAGGAGGATTGTGGTTTGAGGGCAGCTCAGGCAAACAGTTCATAAGATTCCCATCTCCAAAACAACCAGAGCAAAATGGACTGGAAGCGTGGCTCAAGAGGGCCTGCTTTGTGAGTGTGAAGCCCTGAGTTCAAATTCCAGTCCCAACCAAAAAGTAAGAAAAGGTATAAAAAAATACAAGGCCTGAGACCCTACTATGGACTCTCACCTCGCTTCCTAGTGAGTGAGTACAACGTAGCTTTTCTCCCTCAGCAGCTCCTTGGGAAAGCTGTTTTCAACTTACGGTGCCACACATACGGTCTTTCCACATTAGCAAGGAGGAAACTTCTGACAAGATTGTTGTTGTGGGAGGGCAAATATGGTGGAAATGCTGTGTACTCATGTATGAAAATGGAAAAACGAGACCTGTTGAAACTATTCTAGCAATGAGGGGAGGGGGATAAAGGAGGATGATGGGGGGGTTGAGTTTAACTGTGGTATATTGTAAGGACTTTGGTAAATGTCACAGTGTATCCCCAGTACAACAACAATAAAAAAGTATAGAAAAGACTGCTGAACTCATATTCATTTCCTTTCCCTCCAGAAACACCCACAAAAGAGTAAAGGGACTTACTTATTTCTTTAAGTAGGTATAAATCACAAAGACAGAATTAATAGGAAAAGAGATTATGCCAATAAAATCAGGGAAGTCAAGAGAGCAAAAGGCCAGGTGGTAATGAATGAAGAAGACTCAAGAAGGCCGAATGCTAAGCCAGCAGCTGGGAAAGTCAACAGCCAACTAGTTCTGTGCTGTGTGCTGCTAGTGCAGGCCCTGGTGGTACTGAGCACTTCTGGAAGTCGTAGAAGTGACACTGAAGAGAGCAGAGCTGGCCGATCTCTTTCAGAAGGCAGCTCTGCTCTTTTCAACGCTGAACTTTTTTGATACAGTGCCTGCCTAGCATGCACAAGGCCCTGGGTTTCACTCTTAGCACTTCAAAGTAAATAAAATACAATAAAAATAAAACAAAAGGGAACTGGCCTAAAATGAACCTTCGGCTTAAGACACACTGATTTTGAATGCTAAGAAAAGGACAAAGTAAGAATGAACGATAAACCAATGTCTAACTCAACCTCAGAGCAAGCAGTCCCAACATGGGATTTCCTCTGTAAAACATGCTGACGAGGGCACCTCCTATACCACTTATGCACGTGACAGGCCAGCACCCCATCTGAGGATGGGAAAACTGGGTTCAGAGGCATGACATGACTTTCTGAAGGCCAAACAACTACTTCATGGAGGAACCAAGTCTAGAAATAGGCCATCTCCCTGCCTTTAGTCATACACTGCTAGGTGTCAACACGTCCTGCTCGGACACCTGTATGTGTCTCACACATCTGATCCTGGGGTCCCTCTGTTCCTCTCACCTCAGCATCCCTTCCTGCTGGTGCGAACTTACTATTTACACAACTGAGGTCGAATCACTTCTTTCCACCAGCCTGGTCAGGGAGAAGGTCCCCAGGCCCCCCAGACTCTTGCTTCCTCAACCTGAGGGCTTCTGTCTACGGTGGGGGCTGCAGTATGGTTCGGGTGACTTCAATGTCTCCCCCAGTGCCTTCTCTGCAATTAGCCTGGCCTGGAGCCCTGCACTCTGGAGGCAAGGCCAAAAGTGCTGTGGGCTCAGTCTGTAGCCTAATCCCCTACTCACAGCTGCTTTCCCCATGAGCCTGGACTCTGCGTGTGCCTGGGAGAGGAAGGAAAACAGAAACAGAGTAAATTCCAGGCCAAGGGCAGGGCAGCCAGGTACTTCTGGGCCAGAAAGGGGGCACATGGCCCCAGGTCCCCTGCCTACTCCTTTCCCTGTAGGAGATGAAGACTGGACAGGGATGGAAGGAGGGAGGACGAGGGTCAAGAGCACAGCAGGTCTGTGCAGGTTACAGGTGGCCAGCAGTGGTGGCCAGAGGGACAGGGAGGGACTGCTAATGGACACGGAATTCCTTTTTGGAGGATGAAAATGTTCTAAAACTGACTGTGTAATGGCAGCACAACTCTAAATGTATAAACATTGAACGGCTTCTTTCTTTATTTAACTTAATTCAATTGATACATAAAAACATATAATTGTGCTTATTTATGGTTACCATGGAATGTGTCCAGCATGGCCTTTGTCATAGTCAAAGACATTTATTTTCTCAAACATTCATCATTTCTTTATGGCAGAAAGTTTCAAGACCCTTTCATCTAGCTTTCTGAAATGTACAGTACATAGTTATTATCTAGAGTCACCCTTCTATGCAACAGCACAGCAGAACTTCTTGTTTCTACCTAACTATAATTTAGTGTCCACTGGTCAGCCTTATCCACCCCCTCCTCCCACCCTCCCCAGCCTCTGGTAACCACCATTCTCCTCTCAACTTGTATGAGATCAACTTTTTCGAGTCCAATATGAGTGAGATCGTGTGGTACTTGTCTTTCTGTGCCTGCCTTATCTCACTTCGCATAATGACCTCCATTCCCTTCCATCCATGTTGTTGCAAATGACAGAATTTTGTTCTTTTAATGGCTCCCAAATAGCTGGGATTTAACAGGCTGGTGTGGTCGTGTGGTGATGTTTGTTTGAGTTTGTAGGTTGTGTGGGTTTTTGTTCGGTGGGTGTTTTATTTGGTTGTTGTATCATGTATATTGTGTGTTTTGTTTTGTTATGTTGTAGTGGTGGTCGTTTATTTGTAGTGGGTGATAGGTGGTTAGTAAGCACGCTGGTTTTGTGGGTTGGGTTAGCTTGGTGCGGGCTGAGGGGTTTGTGTTGTTTGTGTGTTGTGTTTTGTTTGTTTGGGGTTGTTGCATGGTTGGGTGGGAGTGGTGGGTGTTGATTGGGTAAGTCTGCTATCTGGGAGAGGTTTTTGGTCATTTGTGTACTACCATACTCGACTGTACTTTCTTTTCTTTGTCCATTCATCGAATGGTGGACATAGGTTGTTCCCGTTTGTGTATGTGGGGTGGGGGTTGTTTGTTTATTTTGAGATAGGGATTTGCTATGTGGCTCAGGTATCTCTTTACAACTCATTTCATTTCCTTTGGATACATGCCAAGAATGAATGGAATTGCTAGACCATATGGAAGTTCTAGTTTTAGTTTTTTTGAGGAATTTCCATACTGTTTTCCATAATGGCTGTTCTAATTTACATTCCCACCAGTGGTGTCTAAGAGTTCCCTTTTCTCTCCATCCCCACCAGCACTTGAGTCTTTTTTGTCTTCCTAATACCAATCATTCTTCCTGGGATGAGGTGGTATCTCACTGTGGTTGTGAGTTGCTTTCCCTGGTGATTATAGAGGTTAAACAATTTCTTTTTACATCCTTATAGCCATTTGTATGTCTCCTTCTGAGAAATGGTGAGGTCTATTGCCCATTTTTTGTGCCAGGTTATTTTCCTTTCACTATTGAATTTTTGGAGTTCCTTTTATACTCTGTATATCAATCCCCTGTCAGGCATATAGTTTGCAAACATTTTTTCCCATTCTGTAGGTTGTCTCTGCACCCTTGACTGTTTCCTTTGCTGTGCAGAAGTTTCTTAGTTTGATGTAATCCCATTTGTCTATTTTTGCTTTTGTTTCCTGTGCTTTTGGGGTCTTATTCAAAAAATATTCCTACTCATTTCAGTGTCCTGATGCATTTCCCTTGTTTTCTTCTAGTAACTTCCTAGTTTCAGGTCTCATGTTTAAGTGTTTAGCCCATTTGGAAGCAGGGTGTGGTGGTGTGTACCTATAATCCCAGCACTTGGATGGCAAAAGGATTGTGAGTTAGAGGTCAGCCTGGGTTACATAACAAGATGCAGTCTCAAAGAAATAACAACAACAAATTCCATTTTTAGTTAATGTCTGTAATTGGTGAGAGGTCAGAGTCTACTTCATTCTTCTGCATGAGGACATCCAATCTTCCCAGCACCATTTACTGAAAAGTCTACACTTTCCCCAGTATGTGTTTAGTACCTCTGTTGGAAACTAGCTGGCCAAAGATGTGTGGGTTTACCTCTGGGCTCTCTATTCTGTTCCATTGGTCTATGTATGTGTCTCTATTTATGCTGGTACCATGCTGGTTTTGATCACTACAGCTTTGTTATGTATTTTGAAGCCAGGGGTATACTTAATGCTTCTCTGTTGTTCGTTTTGCTCGAGATAGCTTTGGCTATTTGTTTTTTTTGTGATTCCATATAAATTTTAGGATTGCTATTTCTAGCTCTGAAGAGTGTCGATGGTATTTTGATAGGAATTGCAGTTAATCTGTTGATTGCTTTGGGTAGCATGGAAACTGGGAGGGGATGACAATGTTCTAGAACTGACTGTGATGGCTACACAACTCTGCAAATATTAAAAACTGTTGAATGGTGTGCTCTACACTGGTGAAATTTATGGTAAGCAAATTACATCCCAATTTAAAAAAGAAAGCTTTCCAATTTCCCTATGTAGTATAGTGTTGGCTACTGGTCAGCTGGTTGGTCACAGATAGCCGTTATTATGTTGAGACATGATCCTCTGTCCCTAGTTGCCACAGGGCTTTTTATCATGACGGATGTTGAATTTTATTATTGCAGGCCTTTTCTGCATCTGTTGAGGTGATCATGTGACTTTTGTCACTGATTCCACCCATGTGTTGCACAATGCTGTTGATTCACGTGGGTTGAGCCATCCTTGCCTTCCGGGTACAAAACAAACTTATCATGATGTATGATCTTTTAAACGTGATGTTGAA